AAGATATTGGTTTAAAGAAGCCTTATGCTTTTACTTATATTTCCCTCATGTTTGTGGTGTTTATTAACATAAATGATTAAAATTCTGGTGCTGTTTCATAATGCTGAACGTTTTACAACAATACACTAATGAAACGCTGCATATTTCAATAGTGCAAGCATATCTGACTTGATTGCTGCTGTCTTAGAAAGAAATCCAACCTTCATAATATCAAAGAAATTCATGCAAAAACTGTGATTTAAACTGTCACACCATGCAAATCTCTCATTACACAGATAATTCAGCAAAAATATTTTTAAAATATCTTGCCTGAGTTGACCCAAGTACCCAAGAAGTGCTAGATCTTCATAAAATCATCATTATGTTAAATGGACTGTACTTATATAGAGCCTTTGTATCTTATTGAGATACTCATAACACTTTCCACTGTGTTTCATTTACCCATTCATGCAGCTCTCTACTAGATCTATACAAAGATAATTGAACAAATCATTCTAAAGAGACTAATCAGAGATTTATCACATTCATACACCGATGGGACACATCAGAGGCGAGGGGTTCAGTGTCTTGCCCAGGGACACTTCAGCATGTGACTGCTGGTGGATTTAAACCCACAACTCTCGCATTGAAGGACGACTGCTCTAACCACTCAGCCACAGCCGCCCCAATTAAAAAAATTACTTGAATAAAACGTTTAACTGACCAATTAAAAATATTTCAACTTTCTTTATGGCACTAAAAATTAAGTTCAAATGCTAAACAAAAACAAATAATAACATCTTGTTTGCTACATGTTATTAAGAAATTGTTGATATGTTTTATCATTACTTTAAAATTAGAAATAAACTGTAGTTTGGCTGTAGACTTTTAAATGTTTGGAAGGTGTAAACTGAGCACTGATGAAGTATAATCCAGACCTTTGTATTCTAAAAGCAAGCAATAATTTAAAACAAGAGAAAATAAATGTATGATGCAAACATCAAAGTCAACAGTCAAAGTCAATTTATTGTCAAAAGCCTCAATATGTACAGGACATACACAGGATTGAAATTACATCACTCTCAGACCCCGGTGCAACAAAACCATTTAACATTAAAACAGTTAATAAACATAAGCATAAAATGAAATAATGAAAGTATGATACTGTCTTAAATTGTACTATAGCGGTATAAAAAATATTTTAAAAAGTATATCTATAAAATAAAACGAAATGAAGTCCTGACATTGATATTTGTAGTAATTGGCAAAGCAGCATATGAAGTGAATGTACACAGTATATGTATGAAGTCCTTGATATTGGTGTAGGTAAAGTGACAT